AATAACTGTTAATGGAATGCCACAAATCAGATTAAGAGCACAATTCTGACAGCATTTATGTGATAGGTCAGAAAGTAAATACATACACTCTGTCCTTCAGCAACACAGCCAGTCCATCAGAAGTTTTTCATACTGACGATTTGAGGACTCTGGATCCTGTTGTCATTTTGTATTATAACAAGCTTATCTAGACATGAATTAATTACAATAGTAGAAGCCAACTCAGAATTAAGCTGGATATCACAAATCTAAGAAGCCATAAAATTAGAAGCAAGAAATAATGAAGAGTCATTCAAATGATGCATTAAAATGGGTTGCATTAGCATGGGATCATATACACAGATGCATGTACCACACTCCTAGAATACAAAATTAAAACTAGAAGAGGGAGAGGTAGGAACAGATGCTACCTGCAGCATTCATTTGTGGTAGCTGCTCTTGCAGAACCAATAATCAAAGAGGAAGCACTGCTGAGCAGTTTATGACTTATACTTCTAAGTATAATCTGAAGCATAAATCAATTTTCACTCACACAAGGTTTTATTTTTAATGCATATTTTTCCCATCTTTTCTCTATATGTTCTGAAGAGGGAGGATCTCATTTTAAACAAGTCTCTATCTTTCACAACACTCCTTTTTATATAACATATAATGGTTTGGATTGGAAGGGACCTTAAAGACCATCTAGTTCCAACTTCCCTACCATGGGCCCAGACACCTTCCACTAGACTAGGTTGCTCAAAGCTTCATCCAATCTGGCCTTGAATATATACCTATAAAAAATATATATATAATATAGTATATATTTATAGGACACATTTTTAAAATTATACTACTATATTCTTATATTTTTGAAAATAGTTTGATAATTGAAAGCACTATTTTATTATATTAAATATTTATAAAAGCTAAAATATATGTATATATTTTAAAAGGCTATTGGAGGGGGTGTATATTTATCTACTGTAGGTATTCATGCAAAATGAAGTCTGTACTACTCTTTTTGTCCTTTTCTGTCCTGGATTCTTCTCATTTCAGCCTTACTCTACACAGCTATACCTTATAAGTATACTGGGGGAGGGAGGAGGCAAGAAGAAGAAAGACAGATAAAGAACTACCTCAGTTTAAATAGATCATCCTGAAAATTACAGATACGGAACATTACTTTGCAGATCTTAAGACAGCAAAAAAAGCGCAACATTTCTGGCTGCAGATACAGGGCAGGGGGGGAGAAGGGAGGTATATAGAAGCAAAAAGAAAAATAAATCTGAAGCCAGTCCCCTTCATATGCATACAGAGTTTGATTCCTTCATTCATTCACTTTCTCATTTTAGAGCCTTCAGGATGCCCTCCTTGAACATACACAAGTTTTTCTTTATGACCATCACAATGCAAAAATTCGCCTTTAAATCAACAGACGTTGGGTTACTCATTTGATTTCTTTATTTTAGCAAGTGGACCATATGGAAGCAGACTAAATAGAATAACTGCAATGCAATCAGAAGATTTGATTGCATTGGGAGGGGAAGTATAGACCCACGTAGGAGGATGCCATGGTTTGAGCCCAGAGGGCAACTGAGCACCATGCAGCCATTCAGAAGATAAGATTGAGAACAGCCCTGTGAAGGACTTGGGAGTACTGGAGGATGGAAAACTGCCTGTGAGCCAGCAATGTGCACTCGCAGCCCAGAAAGCCAACACTGTCCTGGGCTGCATCAAGAGACGTGTGGGCAGTGGGTCAAGGGGGGGGATTCTCTCCACTCTGCTCCCCTCTTGTGAGACCCCCCTGCAGTGCTGGGGCCAGCTCGGGGGCCCCCAACAGCAGGAGGACACGGAGCTGCTCAATCAGGGCCAGAGGAGGCCACGAAGATGCTCGAGGGGCTGGAGCAGCTCCCTGTGAAGCCAGGCTGAGAGAGCTGGGGGGGTTCAGCCTGGAGAAAAGAAGGCTCCAGGGAGAGCTTAGAGCAGCCTCCCAGGGCTTAAAGGGGGGACAGGAGAGGTGGGGAAGGACTCTGGATCAGGAAGTGTAGGGATGGGACAAGGGGTAATGGTTTTAAACTGAAAGAGGGTAGATTTAGATTAGATATAAGAAAGAAATTCTTCCCTGTGGGGGTGGTGAGGTGCTGGCCCAGGGTGCCCAGAGCAGCTGTGGCTGCCCCCTCCCTGGGAGGGTTCAAGGCCAGGTTGGACGGGGCTGGGAGCCCCCTGGGCTGGGGGGAAGGTGTCCCTGTCTGTGGCAGGGGGGTGGGATTAGGTGACATTTAAAGGTCCTTTCCAGCCCAAACCATTCTGTGATTCTATGTTACACAGGTAATCCAGTTTTCTCCATGACACAGAGATTATGAATGGAAGAGGTCTGTCATCATATGTAGTACAGTCAGTCCTTTTGCCAAGGCATGAGTTTTCTGACAATGTACCTTTAGCAAATTTTCCCATTTAGATATAAAAATATCTAGAAATGTGAAGTTTACATAATCACAGACTACATTGTGAAAATACTTAAGGATATAGAGAAGGGCATAACAGATTTTAAGTATTTCTTTCTCCCCCTCCCGACCCCTTAAAATTATTTTGGGCAAAAAGCCACTGTACTAATCACTGAGTTGGCATCTTTATTTTTTTAAATCTTATCAGTGAAAGTCTTTAAAATCTCCCCTTCTGGAAGGGGCACACCAATTTATATAGATGGCAGTATTATGGGAGCAAACTGATTAGTGGTCACATTTCTAGTAATTATTATTTTAGAGGCAGTTTCACTGGAAAAGATTTTGCTTTTGAGGTTCAGGAACTGAATAATAGGTGGCAAGTTGGTGCACTCCAGATCTATATTTTATCTTTTATGTGATGCAGAATAATTACCATATAAAAATGTTTATTGGTTCTCAGAGCAGTATGAATGCAACTTGCTACCACAAAATGCTGAGAAGTACAACTCTTCCATATTTACACTTCCCTTGCTTTTTGACAGACTGCGTAGTGCTTTCCCCCTCCCTTCTTAAACCAAACAGCCAATTTGACATCACCTGCACCGACACAAGTCTCAGGAGGGGCATTTCTGTTCCTGGTCACAGCCTCTTGGTTTCAGAGGTGTTTCCGAAGAGAAGCAGACAAACAGGCTTTAACCATCTGGTTTGTAGACCGCCTCTTTTTGCTGTAGATCACCCTCAGCCATGGTGGCGCCTGCATCGATGGCCCTTAGGTGGTATGAGGGCTTTTTCTTTGGAGACACACCAGCTGCCATCAGACTGAAAAACAACTCTACTTCCTCTTTGTTTTTTGTTTGTTTGTTTGTTTGTTTGTTGTTTTGTTCTCCCCCCCTTCTTTTCTCCCCCTGCCCTGACTACACATAAAGCAGCAATTGGGGACACCCCCGCTGTAAATTCAGTACCTCAGGGGTGTGGGCCTGAGGGCCCCCACAGGGCCTGGGAGGGAGCCCCCAGCTGCTGCCCGCCGGTTGGAGCTGGTTCTCTGAGGAGAATCGCCGAGGTAAGCAAAAGCCCAGCAGCAGAACCCGGCCCGAATCGCAGGGCCAGGGCAGCGGCCTCGGGGCTGAGCTGCGGGGTCTGCGAGGAAACCGCCGTCATCACCACCTCAGCTGACCAGGTCCCCCCGAAAATAAGGGCAGCTGAGGCCAGGTTGGGGGCTCCCGCACCCTTCCCCCAACATCTGCATTAGAAGTCAGAAGTTTCTGTTGACTGGTAAAAAATAAATTCAGGTCTTTGATCTGAGTTACCCTCAACACCACAGCCACGTGCAAACAACATCCAGTCAAGGATTTCATCTTGTCTCTTCAACAGGCATTGGGATCTTGTGTCTTCCCAGTCTCCGTGTGGAGAAATCAGAAATAAAAGGGATGTCATTTCAACTAGCCATTTTGCAGTACAAAAAGAAAAATAGGAGAAGATTTTTGCACCTTACTTTGTGGAAGCCTGTACAAGTGCAGACTATGCTGTTCAGAAGAAATGCCTACAGAATATCAGTTTTCTGTTATTTGTTAACATGAGGCTTCTAAGTGTAATGAAATTACAGATAAGATTAATTATTTCCCCTCCAAACATCAAAAAAATCCCAGAAGGAGCTTAAAATGAGAAGAGATAAAAGAAATAATCTCCTTATCCAGGCAGGAAATAATGAATCGGAAATTAAGAGATTTACCCAAAGTTAAACATGAGGCAAGTATAAATTGAAACCAAATATGCCAACATTCAATACTGTAAATAAATACATAGAGAAGACAATAACATTGTATTTAACAACTTCAATGAAGGGAAAATAATAAGGACCCACACAAGTAACTTGCTGCAAGGAAAGATGGCAATAATATCTTCACACATCTCTATACAATCCATTTCCAGTAATGAAAGGATTTCATCTTTCTTAATATCAATTCCAGTTAGTCAGACAGGCAGTCTGAAAGACATCTTTACTTACATTGATATTCCTCTAAAGAACAACAACAACAAAAAAATGACATTTTAACAGAGATGAGAAAAACAATATTATTAATTCAGGTCACAGCCCACACTAGCCAAGTCTCTATGGAAAGTATCACAAGGCATTACATGGTAAACAGCGATAGTATTTTCACAATATTTGCCATCAGTCATTAAGTTTTTCATTTTACAGAGTTAATATGCATTGCTCTTTGTTATAAAACTGAAACCCTTAAAACCAGATTTAGACCAATACAGATAAACACACATTTACCTAAAAGTTAACACAAGCAAAAGGCCAAGAATAGCTCTCTCTAGTCATTGAACCACCTCTCTATTTGAATTACTAATAAACTTGCTAGTTCTATCACTAAAGTTTAACATACTTTTTTTCCCCTTTCCTCAACATATTGGGTGAAACAAAATGACAGAGAGCTATAGAAAAGTTAAAAGGGAAGGAAGTAAATCAGACGTCAAAGTTATTGCCTGCTAATAAGGTACCTCAACAGAATACAAGAACAGGAGACCCTATTTAGCAACAAGCATGTGAGATGAGCTAACACACACCAAGAAACAAGTAAAATAAGTGTGGTTGAGCAATGTACTGTCAAGGATCCCAGCTCTCTGAACAGTGATTTTCCTCCACTAGGTCATCTTCATACTAACTGCAGTCACTACCTTTAAGTATGTCTTTATCTAGATAGAGATAAAAAAATCCAGTAGATGAGCACAAACTTCTTCCTAGAAGCTGAAAAAAAAAAAATAAAATCAGGATATGCTTGTGAAATTACCTATACACAAAAAATACAAAGGTTTGAGCCGGCAGCAACATTTGAGTGTTGTTTCTATTTCTTGCTTTTTTCCTTTAATAACTCAAATTAACACTTCCAGACAGCCTGTCAGCAGAACTATGTTGCCTAGTCATTATAATTCTACATAAAGGTCAAGTAATAAAGCAGCAGTGGTATTTTTCTATTTTTAAGGAGAAAATACTACATTTATACTTTTGAACCACTGCCAAAGAGTATCCAATCACCAGACATTTTCTTCTCCCTCTGTCCTTCACACAAAACAAAGTGAAGGAGCCAAAAAGCTGTAAGAACAATGCAGATAGGGAATCCCCAGCAGGACTAGAGGCAGAACTGCTCTGTAGGACCATTCCCGTATTCGGTGTCTCAAGTGCAGCTGTAATACGACCAGAGCAAATCCAGAAATCCCCAGCAAATTTAAAGGCTGGGGGAGGCTTTGCAGCCTGTACACATTAGATTATATTTACACTAGAGATCAAGTTGTTTCTTGGGAACAGCCTGGAGCCCAAAGCACAAAGCCTACTTCAAGCCAATGTGCTGCACTCAGTCTTGGTGTCAAGAGCACTCCTGAGCCTCTGGCTGCAGAGGTCCGGAAGGCCAAGCCAAAAAATTTCAAATGGTATTATCTGATGTAAGGGCACAGTTTTCGTGATTTGGCTTTTTTGTTTTTGTTGGTTTGGGTTTTTTAATGTTTCCCCCTGCCCCCAATTCATAGGCTGAAACTTTATTATGGAAAGGAGAGCACATAAAACAATAGGAAGAGGCACAAAGAGAGAAGCATCTTTTGTTAGCAAGTAAATGTTGATGGGTGTACATATCAAGAACTATGCCACACCTGAGAGCTTATAACATCACTGATCCTGACAGAACAAAACTGGGTGCTGCTTTCCAGAAATGTGTCTATTAATGAAAAGTTTGCATGACTATGGAATCAGAGAAAATGGGAAAGAAAAAGGACTTCATGGTTTGCCACTTACACTCAGTACAAGGGCAAAACCAGTGTAGAGCGAAGAGGGCTTCGTGCTAGACCTTTTAGGTTTTGTCTTTTGTTTAAAATCCAGCGGTGCTGTAGAGTCAACACAACATCCCCCCATCAGTTTATAGTAATACTGAGTAATAGACATCATAACCCTGTATTACACATTACCATTTCTACAAATATTGTAATTCAGTAGGGACCTGTGTAGTTTGATTTTAAAAGTGACTATCTAGATGTCACAGTACTTTTACTTAGTAAAGCCCCAAATTTGGAAGGTATACAAGTTATGGCCTAATACCTTCTTTCTCATAGATACATAGCATAACTCCCAAATACATAGTAAGTTCCTGGAGTCAAGCAACTTCACATCTATCAGCTGAACTACAGTAACTGACTGCTCCTCAGCTGATGTTCAGTAACCTATTACTCAAAGGAACTGGCACACAAGTTTTGAGAACAGGATGAACTACTTCACAGTCTGTTCCAGGATGGCTTCATTATTTATTCTTATGATTTTCTAAAGAGAAATATCAAAAGAAGAGAAAAATTGTCTTTTAAATAGTACAAGTCCCATTGCAGAAGAGGGCTAATCTTCTGATAAATATTTCTCATTATTATCATGAGGTTTTAATAGTTTGTGATGGCACAAGTAGACACACAGACACCAGAATTAGTTGGAAGTAAAGGTCCCAGAGTCAATATTTTGCTGTTAGCAGACAAATTCAGTTAATTCCTAATCATTAGGCTTAGGAGTGCTCAGATTCCAGACTTTTTTTTCTCCCCATAGAAAAACACAAGTGTGACCTTGGTTCTTTATCCCCAGTTTTGGCTTGAGCCTTGCAGTTATTTATGACTATGCCACATAACTTGCTCATTATTACTTAACTAAAAGTCAGACAGATACATGTTAGATCCACGTTTGAATGCAGTCTGTTCACTCCCTTCCAATGCAAGCCTGTGCACTACTGACCCTCCAGGCACACGAGACTGGTAAAACCAAGGAAATCTTTAAGCGTGAAAGCTCTCCATGAACTTCCATTCCCAGAAACTTGTGTTGACCATCTCAGGTGCAAATGCATCAAAACTTAATAGAGGTCACAGAACTGATCCATTACTCCAAAAATTTCAGTCTTCAGACTTGTTTCTGTTGTTACCTGTGATATGTGGAACAGACCATCTCCCATTTGAAAGAATAGACATGTAAACTCCAAATCTCTCCAGAGAGCTCATTTCACTATTAAAATACCAGCATTTTCCCATTATGTCTAGAGATAATTTCAATGTTTATGAGTTTCATACATCTCCATTTTTCATGATCAGCCTCAGAAAACTCTGCTTATTTCCAAATACCCACCGTCTCCCAGTATTGCCAATGCAACAAAAGCCAATAATTAGCCTCAGCAAGAAAACAGACATGTACCTCATCTCCCACTGGGACATGTGAATTCCACCTGCAAATATGGCTTTCATTATTTTCAGGGTGCCTAAGCTTAGAGATGCTATCGACAATCCAACATTTACATCAGCTGCATCCAAAGAATTGCCTGTGCCAATTACATGAATGCTATACCAATAAATACCTGAGGGCCAGGCATGTCCAGTAACTAGATAGGTATGGCCAATACCCATCTACTGATGCACCAGCACCTTGGTATCCAAGGGGAGGAAGGATTTGCCATCTGAGCAGTCAGGGAAGAAGTTTGCCCCACCAGAGTAGAGACTGCACGTGTAGGTTTTTCTTTAGATAGACATTATCCAGACAAGACTCAGCACACCAGTTTCAGGGAAACAGCCCATGACCTCTCTCAGTTGGTGCTCAGGTGAAAGAACAGGATTCCTGAAGCCATATACCATCTGTATTCATTACCACAACTTGAACGTCACACAGGTAACAAAGTTTGTGTACATGGGCCAGCTTTGGTAGTTGCTGTCAATACAGACCTCAGAAGAACTGCCCCCAAAAGCAGAATCAGTATTTGTATAGCAGTGTCAAAAACTGAAGTGCTTTTATTTAAAGATGCAGAGTTATGCGCAGGAACATGTACATGCAAGGAAAAAAGTGACATCCTTAAATTGGAGGAAAAAATTTAAGTTACTGCAATGGTAAATGTAAATCAGATCTAAGACCCAGCCACCTAATTGCCCATTAAGATATCAAAAAACAAGTTCTTCTTTTAATTTAATAGTCTTCTAGAAGAGAACCCAAGAAAATGCTGAACATTACTCACAGTGGAACTGCAGGACAGAGCTTTTGACTCATGACTCATCCAATATAAGTGAAAGCAGTTCATAAACTGATTCTGAAAAGTTTCAAAGCACAAGATGAATTTACCTTTAAAAAAAAACCATTTCAGTAAGAAGGGAAAAAAAAATTGGTTACAGGAAACATAGGGCAATGGTTATAACTAGGGAATGAAAATAAGGAAATTGTCCTGCTTTCCACAACAAGGTTTGGCACAAATTTCTTCCCAGCTACACAGCAAGTTATTCAGCTTCCCCATATTCTGAAGAAATCCTTGTATCAAATTCTTCTGCTCTTTTCAGTGCAGTGACAGATTACATTTGCAATCATGTTGGGGGGGAAGGGATCTCTTGTTTATTTACAGCCCTCGAACCTTCAGTTGATTTTAAAATATCTGCCCAAATCTAATTCCAAGAATTGAAGAGTTCATACATGTGAGAATAGAATGCCTAGAGCAAAAGATTGAAAAAAAAAAAAAAAAAAAAAAAAAAAAAAGATTAAATGGTTGACCACTGACAGGAGATGACCAAGAGGGGAATTCAGTAGGGAATAAACACAAAAAAATAGGTCAAGAACCTTAATGTCCTAAAAGATAATGTCCTAACCCCTAAAAGATTAGAAGAATAAAACAGAGAAGAGTCAAAACTCAGAAGGGAAGTGGTTTTTTGTAAAGCATGTACCATTTGTTCCCACAAAGTCACTGTGACTCAGAAGCCAGTATCACATAGTCACAGAATGGTTGAAGGGACCTCAGTAAACTTAAGAAAGGAACATTCTTATGGGTAATACAAACTACCAAAGTTACAATTATTTAAAATAATTTTAAAATCAAGTTTTTCACCTTGAGACAGTTGCTACCTTTATTGTGTCCTCCTCCTAGGATGTCACTGAAAGTTTATCTTCTGATTTTAACTGAATACCAACCTTTTCCAGGATAGCCAGGAACTGAATGGAAGAACCAGATGGGGTCAGGAGTCATCAAATGAGAAGGACAGATGTATTGAAATGCCCAATGTCCCTGCCACTGACTTCAGCAGTGAAACAATCCAAAAACATATTGTACATTCAGGAGTTAAGATTGACTGGGACCTTTCTAAAATTACATATACAAAATAACAACTTCTTCAAATAATTATCAGGTCATATACTAATAAAAGTCAAGAAAAGTTATTTTATTACCTGCTCAACTTATTTATGGAATAGAGCCAATATTAGTCAGCACAAGTAGCTACTAGCAAGCAAGAAGGCTTCTATCAGTAACGGAGGTAATTAAAATGAGGGAAATCCAAAACACAGTTATACCTACTAATCATGTCATCTAAATTGTACTGTTTTATTCATTAAAAATAAAGCTTTGAAACAAAGATGCCATATTTTATTCAAGTTCTTGATTACCTTTCTGCCGAGGGAGCATGTAATTTACAAGAAAGAGGACTTAAAGCTTTTAAGTGCCTCTGACTTAATTCAGCATGCTGTATTGATGGTCCCATTTAGATGATTCCATTTTAGGCCCCTCTAACGCATTAAAGGCATGACTTACTCACATCCATTTGGCTAATGATCCCCTACTGCTCTAAAGTAAATGACAGCTATTTACAGTAAATTATTCAATTAGGTAGAGGGAAGTGCAGTATTCATTTTATATTGTTTGACACGGCAAAACAGAAGTGTGCAAGGCGGCAGGTGGGGCATTTTAATCTTTCAGAATCAATTGTTTA